AATTGAAAGCATTTGGTAGCTCCATCATTGGGCAGGTGTTTCATCTTTCTGAGCCTCAGTTTTCTTACTGTGAAATGTTAACTGTGAGGCAGGATTGGCAGGGTTGGCATGAGAACCAACCAAAATTAGGTGCATACTCCACGTGCCCAAGGCAGGAGCTGGCCGGTGCTCAGCAAAGGCGAGGACTGGTCTGGTGGCCAACCTGACTTCTCTACCTGCTGAACAGAATGTGGGGTCCCAACCAGTCTCACCTGAACCGACTCCAGGCTCACAGACCCGAAGTCTTGCTGACACAGAAATTACATACGCTTGCTCCGGCGTCTCAGATGTGAGAAATTAACGTAATTCATCATTTCTAGCCCTTTACATAAAATTGGGTTTAGCCAGAGGAGTTCATTCCATGAAAGAAAACATCGAGGAGTAAACAGATTTCTGAACTAAGCCAAGAGAGTGTCAGTATCCAAGGAGCAAAGACCCACCGGCTCTCCCTGCCCACTGACAGCGACGGGCAGCCCAAGGGGTGTCCCGACGTGTCAGAATGCCAAAGCAGCCCTGCCCACTCGAGTTGCAGTGAGGCACTGCGTTTTCACAGGGCTCATGTTCTCAGTACTTACACAGGCTAAAAGGCAACTTAAAAAACGTGCGTCGCTGAATGGATGAGCTACACCCACTTTAATTCTCTTCTGTGCTACTCCCTCTCTCTCCGACGCTCTACACTCTTCACGCATCTTGACACCCCACCCCCACTGCTCATTTTCCACCGTGAGCTCTGTCCTCAGCTTCTTCTGATACAGTGCATCTCAGTTCAGAAGAAAGGAAGACAAAAGAAAGGCTAACTGGAAAACCCCCACCAATCCAGGTTAGAGGATAACTTCAGACACGCTTGGCAGGAGGTGGCGGAGTGAGCTAGAGGAACCCCGACCATGGAGGCACATGGCCCGGGTTCAAGACCCAGTCTGCTGCTTGCTCCCAGGAGGCCCTGACTGGTCGCTTAATCTCCGTGATCTGCAGTCAAGTAATTTGCAAAGTGGAGATAATAGGCATTGCCCTGTAGCCTCCCAGGGCTTGTTGTGAGGGTCAAATGAGACAATATTGTGGCCAGTGCTGGGAAGGACTAAATGAAAGCATGGGATCCGTGTTATCCTGTAATCACGCATCTCTTAGCTGGTCACACTGAAGACCCTCGGCCCTCCAGGGAGCTCTTCCCCGTCACTGTCCACTCCCAGTCATCTGGACAGTGTCTGACCCAGTCCTCACCCCTCTGCCTGAAGGGGCGGTCTGATCACCGCCTTCATATCTCATTTCATTTGCTCTATTAATCTGTTCTTTTCATTTTATGAACATTTTCTGAATGCGAGCAAGCCTCTGACAGCGTGCTGTGTTCTGGGGAGAGATGTAAATGTGAGGTTCCTGCTGTTCTCTAGGAGTAGTTACTCTCAGAAAACTCACGCTCATGCTCGTGAATCCATGATGGGTCTCAAACAGGCCCCTTCCGCTCTTGAGTCATACCTGGTCCTTGTTTCTGCAACACCTGCACGATGTTTGTGTTTTCTTTACCCCTAACGTGGCCAGCCTGCCGCGCTCCTTCCCTGGTGTTACAAGAGGCCAGCTCGGCAGCTGGGAGGGAGGCCTGCTCCCCCCAGAGAGGCAGTGATCACCTCTGAACTTCTCCTCTTTCAAGGAATTAACATTCCTTCTCTGTTTTTCTTGGACCATATCTCTTGGAGGAAACATCTTTGTTTCTAGAGGCACCCACAGCCCACTCCTGGCGCACCTTTGGGAGATGGGGGTAACTTATTGCCTGTTCGTGTGCCTCCAGCTTCCTTCCCCCCACCCCCACCCCGCACAGGCTTCCAGACGGATGCTCCCACCCTGCTCATCTGACCCTGCAGCAATGCTGTCCCCTTTGCTCAGGATTTCCGTGACACGGAGCTGTGCCGTCCCACTCCCATCGGCACACAAACGCGCACGGTGCCTTGACATGGTCCCTCAGTGGCCAGCGTGTACCTTGGGTATCAGTGACAGGATTTGAACGAATGCAGCTTCTCTCAGAGGGAGATACTTGGGAACTAATTTCATCAGATATGCGGCAAAGGTCACCTTATTAAACAGTGAGGACAGGCTCCGAGACCAGCGACAGGGAGACGCTCGGCTCCTTACGTTGCAGGCGCAGGATGGAGGAGGCCCCAGGGTGCCCCCTGCTCTAACGGCACCTGGTGGGCAGAGATGTTGCGAGTCTAACATTTGCTAATGGACAGATGATAAATAAACACCTTTTTTTTTTTTTTTCCCCTAAACAGACAAGTTGCAGCTCGGAAATTTTTCAGTTTTTCTCATTGCAAAATCAATACCCATCAGCAGTTTGAAATTAAAGGCAAGATTAGACTCAGTTTTATACATGCCTTATTGTATTCCAAAAGCTTTCTACTCGGTCGGATAAATCCTCTTTAAGAGGATTAGGAAACTTTCATTATCTTTATCTAACCTGAACTAACACTAAGTCTGAGAAATTAATCTATAGGCTGGACAAGAGCCGGCAGCTGCTGGAGAGAAGGGGGACCCTGGACGTCTTTCTCCTGGAGTGCTGGGGTCACCGCTTCCGTCCCTGGAAGTGCGACTGGTGTCCGAGGAAGGAACAAGCCGCCCACTGCTGACGGCGACAGACCGCAGCCCCCCGGGCTCCTCCTTCAACCTCTCAGAAAGGTAAAGCTGCCTGCTGAGTTCCCAGAAAGTTCCTCCCGCCACTCCGCCCTCCCGAGCTGTGAACCGAGTCTCACAGGCCACTTCCGACGGCCAGAGCTGTGAGAGGCGCCTGGACGTGGGGACAGTGAGGAGCTGAGCCCTGGACACGGAGACTCGGCTGCTCACCTCTCGCCTGTTCGCAGACCCTTCCTGACCCAACGTGAGGGGCCCGGGGGAGCCACTGGCTTCCCTGTGCAGCCCAGGGCATGGCTCCAGGTGCCCCGGGAGGAACACGACCCCAGCTCCTGCAGGCCCCCCTGGCATGGCCGCGCGTACCCCATCTGCCCTCGTCCTGAAGAGCGGCAGCCTTGTTCCGGGGGCGCCTGCTCTGTCCTCTGCCTGACGGTTCTTTTTTTGTTTTTATTTCAGTGCCACGTTTTCTTAAACTTGAAGATAACTTTGCTGTGCAGGCCACCAGCGCGCCCGGAGGCATCGGCTTCCAACGCCGAGAACGTCAGCTCTTCCGGAACCAGAGCCAGAAGCCAGGCGGGGAGGGAGAGCTCAGTCTCCACGCTCTGTCCCCCCCAGAAACGTCCGGCCCGTTCCGGCTCACCCCAGAGGACCGGCCGCACCCAGCGCCTCGCCGCCCTTAGAGGGGAAGCCTGAGAGTGACCGTTGTCTTCATCTCCAGACGGCAGCCACCTTGCAGCTCCAAAGCAGTGACCATCCCCAGCCCCGCCTGGGTGGGACGTGCGGAGAAGGCGGGGCAGAGGGCAGACATCTGTCGGATGGCCGGCTGATGTGGGCGTCGGGGAGCACGTGGGGCGAGAGAAGGCCGCGGAGGTGAACTGAGGCAAGGGTTCAAGCAGTATGACAGCGCAGGGCCTGCTGGGGGCAGACACGGCAGGGGCACCCCTGGCCCGGCCTCTGCCATTAGAAATGGCTCACTGAGTCACAGACTCGGAGGCTGTGCTGGCCAAGAGCCCCTCTGGCAAAAGAATGGCCAGAAGCAGGAAGAGCACTAACCCCCCTCAAATGCTCCATGAAACCAAATGAAATGAGCAAAACGATATTTTTCAGAAAGGCAGGGGCACGAGACTCCATGCCAGCTAAGCAAGGGTGCCACACACATTTCCTAAGCGACCCACCCTTCGAGACGCTGAAGATGGGATGTGGGAAGAGGCAGTCACTGAAGACTGAATCACACACGGGGCCCCTCCTGAGAGCCCAGGCCGTGGCCGCCGACACGGGTATAGGACACTCGGGACGTCCACCCCATCTCTCCTTGGGTGGGATTTGGGGGAGGAAGGATGTGTCAGTGGAGGATGGGAGCGGGCTTAGTACTTCCTGGTCACCCTGGTTCCCTAGCTCACAGGAACTGCTTTACATAGTGGGGGCAGTCAGTGGGGAGCAGTTCAACATAAGCTCGTGGGTGCTGCTGTCTTGTCTCACAATGGCTCTCAAACCCCCCTAACTGCTATCTGAATGTGTTTCTGATTTCTAGAATTTAATCATTGATAGCTGAGATTCTGACATCTCTTCAGCCCCACTTTTCCCCCTACAAAGTGAAATTTGAAAAAAAAAAAAAAGTATTAAATAAGATGCCTGGGTTATACTGATACAGGTTTTTTTTAAGGATCACTAGGAGAGACTGTTAGGGATTGAATGTCCCCCTTTTTAATTATACAGATTTACTTCCCACATAGACCTGGACATATAAATTGGACTAATCTCTCTCCTGGTCTCGGTTCCACCGGGGGGCTACGAGAGAGACGTCGGTGCTGCAGCCAGGCCGACCCTGGCGGAGCCGTGCCCTGAACCCCTTCAGGACCGTGCTCCGCCATCTCCCATGCAGAAGCGGGCGTGGGTCACACAATCTCATGTCAACAGTGTTCGCCTCTTACTACAAAAGAAGCTTATAAAAGATGTTTAAAGACAGACCTCTACACAAACATCATCACCTTTGATCACAGTCATGTTTCTGAGTGCAGAAAGTGGATATCGAATCTGTTTTGAGTAAATCTGGCTCCAACTCCGGAGCACCAAGGAACGTAAGGGAGCCCCACCAGCACACGCCGAACAACGTACTGATGAGAACCGAAGGACCTGATATCAAACCGAGAAACCTGGTGATGATTCTCAGTACTCAGTCAAGAACCCAGCAGGGGGCACGGAACCCCGGATGCACGCTCGACCCCTGGATTCTATAGAGAAAGACGGCTTTTTGTGTCTTCATACATAAGTAGAAGCAAAGACAGATTGTCCTTCCCCTCCATCCTTGACAGTAACCCCAAACTGCAGATCTAGCTGTAACTCACCCTGCACGATGAGGTGCACCCGCGAGGTCTTGGGGTGGTTGTCCGTCTGCACGGAGCAGGTGTACGGGCCCTCGTCGTACACGTCCACGTTCTGGATCATGATGCTGTACTGGGTGGGTGTGTTGACCAGGATGATCACACGAGGATCTATGGACCACTTGTCATTCCCAGCGTAGAGGATGGTGCTGCGGTTTAGCCAGGCCACCCGGGTGACCCGGTCATCGATGGTACACCTGTGGGATGGGGTGGATGTAAGGGGAAGGGAAGAAGAAAGGGGAATATTGAGGAAGGGAGAAAGGAAGAGAGAGGAGGGGAGAATGGGAGGAAGAGAGTGTTGAGAGATTATATTATAAATATAGCGGTTGTACTTCAAGGAATAAATAAAACAACATAACCTAGTGCTAAAAGAAAACAATGAATTATTGATGAAACTTCTTAAATATAGGTTCACAGTGACCTGAATCATCCTGAAGAACCGAAGATGCAAAATCATTTGTATTTGATTTGGGAACATATTCAGTGAAGATCTTTGCTGTGTATTTGCTTTCCACTTTATTTCTCCCCTAGGCTGACATGAAAATTAGTTTAAATTTCTTGAGCACATTGAGCATCTTGTGGGAGACGTGGCCCAGGAGCATAGGGGAGAGAAAGTGGATCAGTATTTCAAATAGGTCACAGGTAACCCACAAAGCAAATACCTAACTGATTGTTGATCAAAAGTTCAGCGTGTTTCCTTCCAGACCCCCCGGTGCGGATAACCCGCTGTAGCCTCAGCTGCCCAGCGCCTGCAGACTACAGTTTATACAACCGGTCGGTGAAATTCACCCAAGAAAGCCAACAATTGTGGAGGAAGCAATGACGCCCTCTTCACCAGAGAGAAAACAGTGTGGCTGGTGTCACCAGGTTACCGCCACCCTCTCACCGACGTGGCCCCACCATCAGAGGCAAATGGAATTTGCTCTGCGGGGTGCGTGACCTGCTGGCTACCAGGCTTAATGGAGAGATACATATGCCTGTTGGCCAGGAAGCAAGTTGTGTGTGCCCCAGGACCTTAGACCCTGTGAAGGAAAGATGCAGAAAAAGAAATCCTTTGTAAGCCTGGGTCTGTGGTGCAGGGTGCGAGTCCAGGGGTGAAGTCATGCACACCTGGTACTCAGCGCCCTCGTCTGCTAGTCAGGACTTCAGCTGGGGTATCTGAGCAAACACAGGTGCGGCTCCAGCCCCTCTCCCCCCAGTGTCCTAGCGGAGGGTAGGAGGTGTGCCTCCTGGGGACAAGGAATGTGAATCCAGTGCCTCCATTCCTTACCCGTCCGACCCCATTTGAGCAACAAGAAAGATCCTTCTGACAGGCTCGGAAGATGGGCAGCACGCCAAAGATGCTGGCCGTGGACGACAGGACACGTTTGGACCTGCTGCTTCCCCTTGGCAAAGGGGCCAGTCTGATGGGTCAGGGGAACAGAACGGGGCAGAGGCACCCAAACGACACTCTCCTAGAAAGGGGACAGCGTCAGGCTAGAGAGGGACTCTCCCTGGCTGGTAGGAGGAATAAAGATAACACGAGCTTCCAATTACTGAGGTCTTTTATGTACAGGTCCACTGATCATCCAGCCGGAGCCGGGGCCATGAGGTAGGGGTGGGGTGATAATTAAGTGCTATCAAATTATAATAGAAGATTCTTCTCTTCTAAATTGTCTTTATTTGCTGTTTTTCTCAAACAACAAAAATAAACATGTTTAAACATGTGAACAAATAGAACACAAAGACAGAGGCCAAGCTATTCGGTACCTTCCTGACAACAACTCCGACGTCGCGCTCCTCACAGACATACGTTCACATGTACACACTTTATGTTGATTTGTTTTTGCCCGAAATAGAACCATACTCTAATTTTCCTGTGAAGCTTTTCTGTTAACTTGACCACACACATCTCTGCACACCAAAAGTTAGAGATCTAATTTTTTCTAGTTAACATAAGTGAGATGAGTTGGGGGGGTCCCTTAAAAATATATATGTTATATTGATTTTTAGAGAGTTAAGGAGAGGGAGTGAGAGAGAGAACCATCCATGAGAGAGAAACATGGATCAGCTGCCTCCTGTACGCCCCCTACTGGGGATCAAGCTCACAACTCGGGCATGTGCCCTGACCAGGACTCCAGCTGGTGACCTCTTGGTGCAAGGGTCCAGGCTCAACCTCTGAGTGTCAGTGATTAGATAATTCAGATATCATTAAATGACTCTTTCTCACCTTAGTAAGTGTGTCATTGGTATGAAGAAAAATTGAAGTCTTGTTTTTCCCTCCATACCCTGGATTGTTAGCTTTACTTTCCACAAAATCATTTCATTCTATGGAAATGTTTACATTTTGCTTATGCAGAAGACCAAAGCCCAAAAGGAATTTCCCTGCTTTGAACTTTCAAAAGCATTTTTTTAGAGAGAGAAAAAAAGATAAACTCATTAATTCACTCTCAGTTGTAAATGATTGATAAGGTAACCCCTATCCTAAGAACGGCTGTATTGAAATACCTCCTAACAGGGAAGTTCCACGTGTGCAGTCCAGGGATTAGCAAGCCTGAAAGTGAATGGTGAGTTGGGACAGAGTGAAGAGAGTTGTCTTCCAGTCCCTGGAACCACACAAAGGCGAGTAATAACATACAAACAAATATTTTTGCTTTTATTTTGGTCAATTATGTAACCACTTACACATTTCTAAGTGGACATGATTTTTTAAATTTAATTTGTAGTTGCAAAGAATGCATTTTTGGTCTGTGGAAAATATTCACATTGTTAAATTAAACAACACAATATTTATATATTTATATATTGTTTAATGGAATTTAAATACTGTAGTAACTTGATACTCCTAATTATCTATTTTCAACATCCACGAACAAGTTCTTCTTTAACAGTCATAAAATGTGCATTGTTCCTTTTTTAAACACAAAGTTGTGTTTCCATTATGTGTCCTCTGAGGATTTTATCCTGATATATTTTATGATTGAAAATCTTTTATTGATCAGCTATCATATTTATATATAATATATTTAAATTACTTTTATGTTCTGTGACCATAAAGCGCTGAGTGATAATATTTTCTTTTAGGATGAGTTATTAACACAAGGATAATATTGATAAAACAGCATAAATATATTGTACATGTTGTTAAGTAATAATTAAAGGTAACGAGTAAGCTTTTACTGGAAATACAGCTCTTAGTAGGCAAGAGGAGGCTTTTTAAACGTGTGTGGTGGAGAAACGCCATCCCTCTGGAGCCAGAGAGCAAGGATCAATGTCATCCCTACTCCTAGTTCTGCTTCAAGCGAGCCTACTTCACAGCAGCAAGGACATGGAAATGAACATCTCGTATAGAAATGTCGCTCAATTCTTTGAACCTTTTCCAAAACACACGCCAAAAAGCACATAGTAATATAGCTTCAAAAATTATTTTAATGATCGCACAGCTGACAATTCAATTAGTTCCTTCTTCAATTTCTTTTAAAGCGATGAATTGGAAAATACCCGACTCGCGAAGGGCTTTGTAATTCAGTATTAAATTCATTCAATTTCTCAATATGTAGACGGTATACTGCTAATATTTTACCAGGCTTTATCAAATGACTATTAAAGTAAGAAAGTAAAGAAAAATTCTCTCCTGAACAATTACTAAAGTGGAAGCAGTCAGAAAGGAGAATTAGAATTACAGTCCAATTTCAGGCACTTTCTCAGGTCGATTTGTGGAAATTTGAGATCTTGAAATATATTACCTTCAACCTACCATGCCGTTTATAACCTACAATTGCCGGTTGGAGTGTATGAAACCAGGTCAGATGACCAGGGGGCACAGTAGGGGCTGATTTTGAAGCAGGTCAGTCCACATCTACCTTTCAGGGCCAGAAGTCATTCTCATGCCTGGCCACATACCCTGTGGAAAGCCTTATGCACCCCTAAGACAGGGCGAGACAAACCCCAGACGGATGGCCAACGCCCATGTACCTACTCTCAAACCTGGGCCTCATTAATGGGGAAGGAGGGCAAACAGAGGAAAATAACTGGATAAAAGCCATCACTCAGTGGGCCAGTCTGTACAGTCCTAGAGTCTGATGAATGCTAACGAAACTTGGCACAATGAGGGTGTTGGTTGAGAACAGTTATTTTCTTCCTAAGGTTTCGGTGCTTTAGAAGAAGTAGTGTCAATGCTCCGTACTCTCTTCCATCATAACAGGGGCCCTTTCCTGTCCTCGATCAGCAGGAAGAGGATGGTAGGGAAGGACCTACAACGTATGTTTAGGCCCTGGCCAGCGTGGCTTAGTTGGTTGGAGTGTCGTCCCATACACCAAAGGGTGGCAGGTTTGATTCCTGGTCAGGGCAATTAAAAAAACATATATATATGGTTTTGTAAATGGGCGATTTATATATATATATACACATACATATATAAAAATAAATGGGCAATGTTCTGCCAACTCTGGCTCCTTCCTGCTGTTTATGGCTATGTCCTACACTGTCATTAACAACAAGCATACGGAGGAGGATTTTTGATGTTAAATAAGAGGATCCAAGAGGAAAATTGAGCAACATTAATGTCAACTTTCATATTTCTTGAAAACTCTTTCAAGCATTTAAAATTTTTATATTCCAAACTAAACCTTCCTACTGGACCTTGATAAGAGAACTCATTATAACTCGATGACAAGAAATGTTTAAAATTATATAGTGCTTATTCTGGGCCTGGCACAGCTTAAAAACTTTCCGCGTATTAAATCACCCCATCTGTCCACATTTTACAGCGGAGGCAACTGAAACGCAGAGAGGTTCGGGACTCCTGGAGCCGCAGCCAGTGCTCTCAGAGCAGGGGGTTCACACTGAGGCAGCCTATACATAGAAATTCAAAAGTGATGTGTTGACCACTGCTGTGTGCGAGGAGGGGAGATGGGAATGAGAACCAACAGCCAGGGAGCCTGAGAAACAGAGCAGGAAACGACCCCACAGGCCAAGTAGCGTTGCCAGCGCCACTGACCATGGAACCTGGGGTTAAACTGCAGGGTCAGTTTGGTTTGCTTCAGGGGAGGAGGTCCAGTTACGGAGAACCACTGCTCTGAAGCAGTGTTGTACCAATTTTAGCATGCATCAGAGTCACCTAGAATGTTCTTACAGTGTAGATCAGTGAGTCTGACTCCCAGGAGCTCCTGGTCCAGTGGGTTGAAGGTGAGCTGAGAGACTGCATTTCTAACAAATT